TATTCCAAGTTTAACTAATACGTCAAAAGTTCTAAAGTCGATTTTCAAATTAGAATTTATTACTTCTGAACCTGGTGATCCATCTTACAAATAAGCCAAGGAGATCTCTGGTCATAAAAAAGTTGGAAATGACCTTAGTTAACGCTCATGCTTATTTGCGTAACAAGAAAAACAAAACAAAGAAAAAAGCACTTACCCGCCATATATGGAATGCCTTTTGTAACCTCTGTCTATATCAACCAACGACTATTTGCACAATCAATTAATTGTAAATTAGCTGAAAATATGCAAATCTTCAAAATTTATTCAACTAGATTTTAGATTAAAACAGAAGACAAAATCAAACCATCGAACACTATCGTTTCTTATACATTTTTGCTCCACTAATCAGTCCCTATAATTATCACCAAGATGCGAATATTATTTGACTGATAAGGTTACTCTGTAAAACTCCTCCCTTCCCACCCTTTTTTATATTTCCTGACACTAAAACTTAATGCAATAAATTCGTATTCTTTACATTCTCCAATTCCCTATAATCTTTTCTCCATCCCCGAAAACAGATAAGTATTCCAAATTATATTCATAAATAAATCAATGCCAAATAAAAAAATTTGGGAAAAAATGAAGAAAAATGGATAACCACCAACATTTCAACCCTTTTACCTTTTTTTTTCTAACTACAATCCTGAATTCGGAATTAGCTAACATGTAATAATATACGTAGCACTAACATACATAAATTATCCTACTTAATAACTACTAATAACAGTATGCCGTGGGATAACGAAAAGTAAAAAAAAAAAAGGAATAATAGCGTACTACTTGTAAGTAAAGGTCAAATGTTATTTCATGAAGTGATTCAAGAAATACTGATTGTATAATAAATATTGATTATATGTCGTATTCATAAATCGACATGTTAAACAGAACTAATATATACTATACATTTAAAATTTTTAAACTGAAATTTCAAGTAGTAATTCAAATTCTTTCAAAACAACAAAAATAACCTAAACAACCAATAATACTTATTCTTCATCCTCAATCACAGTAAACCTGGTTAATCTCAAAGGTGAAACACCCGTCTAAAAATCACACCATAGATATCTCATACGGCCATCTTACAATCCTCCATCTCATTCTATCCCACGGGTAGATATCATTTTCCGATTAGTCACACATGCCATACTCTTCCCATACCGCACGTACATTCCCCTCCTTGTCTTCCTCTTTGTTTTTTGTTTTTTTTTCGATCTTCTCTTTAATTCTATCTTCTTCCAACCACCCTGTCTTTAACAAATAGCGTGTTTAAAGATTGCATCGAGTAAGAATACAAATTGATGTGTTACATATACTGCATATATGCATGCATCTTGTATGCAAGTTACATACATACAGAGGATGCATTGTATCCATGAATCATCTCAAAATTCAAATGTTTAAATCAATATCTGTCAAGAAATCCAAATACTTTTCAACAAAACTTCATTCGATATTTCTTATAGAACATATGAAATGTAATAATACGGGAAAACCGAGAATTAAAAAAAAACCGACGACTGAGAATTCACCCAAAAATTGTCCATCAATCAATAATTATGTTAAGAAATGTTACGTAAATATCCAATAACTACCGAATAAACCGCCCACCTAAAAATTCCCGAAAAATGACCTGCAAACTCCCCCAGATTAAAATACTGACATGAAATAGGAATAAGAGTGAAATTATCCGCTTTAGATAACTTAAAACTTCAAGATTTACTTATATCCTCCCCCACTAATGCTATAAGTAAAATAACCATTATAGCAGATTTATA